TCCATTTCAGCTTACTAATTCCTGATTTTTTTATCTTCATAATTTCCATTTCATTTTGATGACCTGATTTTCCTAGATTCAGAGTCCATATACTATCAATTATGTCAATTTTTAATGAATGTTTGCAGCTTTTCCGACTCATTTTGCATCATGCTACACCAACAAATGAAGGTCTCAGGTTTTGTTCCACAATTTAGAACTTAAATTCTGAGCACTCAGTTTGCAACCGATGACACTGAAAGCCAAAATCTAAGTGCAGAGTCCCCAAGTGGGTTTAGCCTCTGGTGTATGCCCTCTGACTTGCTATCAGAGTACATTAGAAAGTGGATTAATGCAGATGTAGTCAGGTTAAAATTTAACACACCTATCATTTGTGCTGCTTTTGATCCATTTTAAACTTGTTGTAGTTTTTAATATTCTGCTTTCTTTGGGGTTGAGGTTTTTCTGTTTTGTTATTGTTGGTTTTTGTTTTTTATATGCTTTTTATGTGTATAAAATCCAGAATAGGTACGTAAGTGTAAGGATACAGTGCATAGATTAAGAGTTACTTTTATTTATTATTGTTGATTTGTTTTTGTATGCTTTTCTGTATATGAATTCAGGATAGAAAAACCTAGAGACAGCACTTGAAGTCATCATTTCTTGAGTTACGGCAGAGGAGATTGGGGGGAAATGGGAAGCTAATAAATATAAGAAATAAGATAATGCTATATAAAAATGCTGACTGTGGTGACAGTTGCACTCTTTAATATTACTAAACAACTGGGTTGTATGATATGTGAATTATATGTCAATAAATTTTTTTCTAAGTTTTTTCCCATCCATGTCCTTAAGGTTGAATCTCCTTTGCAAAGGGAGCTTTTCCCCATTTGTATTTAGCATGTTCCAACTTGAGGGACTCTTCTTCCAGTATTATTATCAGATATGGCTCCACTACGATTCATAAGGTTTCAGTGGCTACATAATCAGAAAGGGACTGCCTCCTGCTTCCTAGACTGCCTTAGTCTGGAAGCTCTGCTGAAAATTTGTCCAGCATGGGTAAACCAACAGGTATTTAAAATACCGTTGACATAGCTTCCAGGATCACGATGTCCAAGGCACCACATTAAAAACAAATTGACAGACAAGTGATGGGTACTCATGGTAATAAAATGCAAATTAAAGCCACGCAAAGATACCTTTCATCAGAATGCAGAAAATTTAAAAAAAGAAGAGGAGGGACAGCAGACACTCACTCACTGTGCAGTGCAATAAATTACTTCATATGGCCTTTCTGTTGATGGTCTGATAACGCCCACAATATTACTGGGTAGGGATTTGTAGAAAAGCTGCACGAAACCCTTCAGGGTGGGACTAAGCAGATCAGGTACATGAAATCCTCTGTAGGAGATTGGTCAGTTTTGCCATCCTAAAGCTCAAAGGGAGTCATTAACAAGGGCTGAATGGAGTCCTCGCCTCCATCATGAAGAGGAGCCAGGAACAGAGTGAGTTCCTTAGACCCAAGGGCCCTGCGCTGAATATCCCCTAGACCCAAGATACAGAGAAAGCTAAAACACCACACACAGCTTGAATATTTATGCTGGCAAGCTCAGCAGAGTTCAGGAGTGGAGAAACAGCAGCAGAACCAAATACCAGTGCTAGGTGGTGCTGTGGGCTTTCCAAAAGGCTCATGCAGCAAGGCATCTATAGCAGGCGTTTTGACCCAGCCACAAAGCCCCAGTGCCTTTGGGCAGGGGCTTGCTCTTGGGACTAAGGTACCTCTTGACACTGGTGGAGCTAAAGAACTTTGTAACTTTTGACTGAATCAGACAGAAGCTAGAATTGAGCAAGAAGCAGAGAAAAACTTGTCCTCAGAAAGCTGTAGAGGCCTTTCCTTCAGGATAGCCAAGAAGAAGCTATCCTGATCAAAGAACTCTTACTTGTTCCTGTTATTTCTCCATTGATTCTGATCCTGAATTGTAACCTGTTACTTCCTTAATAAACCCTGTAAAATATAGTATGAGTCTGTATTACCACTGAAACAAATTATCAAACCCAGCAGAGAAGAGTACTTGGGCGTGAGGGTGGGGGGGAGGGGGGGTTAGGGACAGGGGAGACTGGTGCTAGAATTAGTTTAAAGAAAAAACCCAGCTGGAGAGAAGTCTGACCTCTACCTTAGAGAAATCAAGCTTTTAGCCCATGCTGATCTTGATTCATGCTCTTGCCCCTCAAGCTAAAGGACCTCTGACACCATGACATTTCTACATTTGTTGTGAAATGTTTATTGATGGACACATCGTCTATGAAAGCAACTGGCAATACCAAAATTAGCTCAGAATTCTAGGAATTTATCCTACAAACATAGCACAGACATGTAACAAGACCTAGTAGATGGTCATTCTTTATAACACCATTTGTATGGGAAAAAATATATAAAACAAAGTCAATGTCCATCAACACAGAACTGGAAAATCAATTATGTTATATCCATGTAGTATCAATCTATGGAGTCTACTGAGGAAGAGTAAGGACATTCTTTATGTGCACATGCTGAGTTTTCCCAAGTGAATAAAGAAAAGTGGAAAAGAATAAACAGATTATATTACTTTTGCACCAAAGTAGGGGAGAGAGAACATAAATCTTTTTATACTGGTTTTATATTAGAACACAAAGAATATGGGAATTGTGTAGGTGGGAAATGCTAACAATAAAATCATATGTATCTATATATGCATATTACACCCTCAGGTACATGCACACACAATTTCCACTTACTCTATACTTAAGAGAAAAAAGGGAAAATTTTTCACTTAAATATCCTCATACCAAGGGCTCAACTAGAAAATGTTTTGAAAATGATGATGGCAACATATGTACAAATGTGCTTGATGCAATTGATGTATGGATTGTTATAAGAGCTGTAAAAGTCTCCAATGATTTATTTTTTTTAATTGAAAATAGAATTTTAAAATGATCTAAACATGAAAAAACAGAAAAGGCATATCCTCATAAAAACTCAATTAAAAGCAGAAAAGATATGCACAAGGGAACTGGATATTATAACATAAATGCAACTTTCTTGTGTCAGAGGAAAATCTGAACCTACTTCTCTATAAGTTCATACTTCTGTGGTATTATAATCAATTAAACTTGTTTATGATAATAAACGCTAAAGAACCAAACTAAAATTCTACTTACTATCTTATATGAGGACTTAAAAGTTTGTGGAAGAATGGACTTTTGTATTAATTTTATAAACTTCACACATATGGCAAAGAGAGCTTTCCATTTGTTACAGGTAAATCAAATTATATTAAATCAGAGTATGTTTTAAAAGCTCTAAGAAGGTCGACTTATCAAAAGAAACTGAGTTTTCAATGTAAATACAAATGTTTTCATAATACTGGATTTTTATGTTTTGGGTTTTCCTAATCATAAAAACCTTGCCTGGACATACTGCCCACTAAGCAAGGAGACACAATATACATTATTAACATTATGTATTTCAGTCTTTACCTTCCAATGAATACTTCTTGCTTTCGTCTATGAAAATGACTGATTTGCAAAACAAATATGTATACCTCATATTTCTTAAAAATTATGGCATGAATAGTTTGCCCGAAAGGACTCTGGCCCTTTTGATGCACTGCACAGGCAGATTTGCCATGAAGAGGTGAGAATGGACAAGGTGAGCCTCAAGTTTTCAAACTCTGTGCTGTACCATCTGGTGTTACAAGAGCCTCTGGTACACTTTTGAGATAATAGCAAAAAGGGTAACAAAATTCGGTATAGCAATGATACCCATTACAATTACTGAATAAAGCATCTTAAAAGTCAAGTTAATTAACAAAACAAGTTATCTCTACTTAGAAAAAGCCTGGGCAAAATGTCTTACAGCATGCATAACAATAGGAAGATTCCTCTGAATCTGAAGATTCCTATAAAACATCTTCATTCATATCTACAGGTTAGAAGAATCAACAGAAACCAACATGACCAACATAGGATTTGCAGTCACATAAAACCAACATTGGCGACAGAACTTTTGATATTATCTGGAGCAGTGAGTGGGTCTCAAACCTAGGTGCACATTTAACTACTTCTGGTAATGTAACAAATATATTCATGTGAACCAAATCAGAATAGGGCAAAGATGAGCACATCGGTAGTTTTTTTTAAAACGCCTCGGGGTCCTAACACAGTCATCAGTAGTTTTTTTTAAAATGCCTCGGGGTCCTAACACAGTCGGGATGAGAAGTTCCCATCTCTCAGAGAACAAGTTGTTCTGAAAGCAACTCTACAGGCCACGGAAATCAAGTCTCCATTCCAGAGCCTTACATATATTTAACAGGAGGAGGAAATGAGTTCCATATATTTCAATGGATTTTTTTTTTTTGGGGGGGGGTTCATTTTGAAGCATTTATGCATGCTAGAATCTCAAACTTCTGAGTATGTGGCAATTCATACAGCATGAACACCCAGCTATAGAATTCCCAAATGTGTTGACAGACGGCAATAACCAAGGACGAAGCGGGTAATTCAACCAATACAGTTCTGATACAGAACTAGTGTCGTAATGAAAAAATACTTTATAACCAGTCAAATCTGTCTCTACTCCACATTGTTAATTTAACCTAAGCCTTGGTTTCCTCATCTGTAAAATGGGGGATCAAGATCTAGCTTATAACAAATATTAAAGGCTACAAAACCTACCTAAGTACCTGATAAAATAGCAAAATAAGCTAACGAATGGCTGTGAGATAAATTAAAAGCAGAGACCCTGGGGGAAAGGACCGGCCCAGGTGATATTAAGAGACCCACAAGCTCCTTTCCATTACCGTTCCGTCGGCAATGTTCGCAAGAACGGTAACTTTAGGCCAGAGGGGCCAAGGGTCGGGACGGGTGGGCAGTGCTTCTAAATCAAGGAGGGCCCTGGGGCCCAGCATCCCACTACAGCTCGCCATGCCGCTGCATCGCCAGGATGATGCCGGTCGGGTGAAACGGCACACACGGTCCCTCACCTTCACCATGGCCGTTCCCCGGTTGCCCGGCCGGCCATTCTCTAGTCCCGCACCAGGCTTGTTTACAACCAGGGCAGCCATCCTGGGAGGAGCGGCACCGCAGCAACAGCCGTCACGGCCTGCAGCTGAGAAGGGGGCGGGGAGGCCACCTACCCAGAAGCCTCTGCGCCCGCCGCTAGGACCCCGGCGCCGGGCACCACGCGACGCGCCACCCGATTGGCCCCGCCGCTTCTTCTCCCGCCCACCGATGGTTTCGGTTCGCTGCACTAGCTTGCGCATGGGCACTTGGTACATATCGTTGTATTACTAAGGATTCTGAACTTAGTAGGCTAAAGTCAAGGGAAAAAGGAAGGGGTAAAATAGGAGTAAATGAGTATGTTTTGAAGGAAAATTCCCCCTTTTGTGTGCTCTTTCCCGAACCAGCTGCTAGGAACTACATCTCCCTGCATGCAGTGCGGTTATTTGAATAAACCATCTTTCCCAGCATGCCCCGCATCTCTCGTTTCTTTTACTGCTGCAATTTAGACAGGCTTTTGGTAAACCTTGCATTGTTTCCTTGAAGTCGCGATACGTGATTATAGCTCGAAAACAAAAAAGTGCCTCCTGTATAAGACTCTAAGAAACACGGATGCGTTGGTGAAAAGGAGTCGTTGGGTCCTTACGGGGCGTAAAAGGAACCGAACTCAAAAGTAAGCTGTGGAAGAGTGTCCGACGGCGGGCCGCTGTGGCCGACCCGGCGCTTTCTCGCTCCTTCCGGACTCGGCTGACCCTCCTCAGCCCCCGTAGATCGTGAGGTGCACGGAGCCTGTCAAGATGGAGGTGAATCCACCCAAACAGGAGCACCTGCTGGCACTGAAAGGTAAGTTTCTGCAAATCTGCCTCTCCTCTTTCTGTCTTCTGCTCCCCTAATTCTTCGAAGCTTTTATCACATAGATCTGCCCTCTGGGGTCTGAACTTCATTCTTCTAAAATACTATCAGAGCTCCCTCTCCTGTTCTGCTTCTAGTAGCCCAGGGGGAGGAAGCGATTTGGCCTCTTCGATTTTTTTTTTTTTTTTTTTAATTTGAAAACTACCCTCAGCATACACACGCTCTGGTCTATGCTGCTGTACTCACCCGACGGAAGCTGACATCCCGGGGATGTCCCGGATAACCGGCATGGTTTCCCGCAGGCCTCGAAAGTAGTGACAGTGCTGGCGAAATTACCTGCCTTCATTTTCATCTTTTAAACTTGTCTCGTATTGCATCACAGTAGCGCCATGGATTTAGAAATGCACAGTACCACAGTGTATAAGGTTTGTTACAACTTCCTGCAATTTACTTCACAGCATCGGGTTGTTGGGGACATTTTCCAAAATTGCACTTCTACATACACGGTTAAGCAGCGTTGGACACATTTAATGATTTGGTTAGCCTATTGTTTTAGAAAAAGCAGCACGACTGACTATTGTGGACTTCCTCGTGTTTTCTAAATAGTCGACGCTTTTATTTCAAATATATAATGCTTTATCTCATCAGCCCTACTACCACTACCACCACAGATGCACTTTTTCGTCCTTGGGTATTCTTATGTCTGCTTACCAGTGATTTCTTGTACTGAGCTGAGGAAGTGCTCATGTCAGTTTTGACTTCACTTTAATTGCACTTACCTGCCTAATAGCGTTCATTATTAAAGACCCCAGTTTCCCAGTTATGTAGACCTCTAGCATTCTAGAACTCATCAGTCTCATATGTGCTTGGGTTAGCAGTACAGTCTTTGGCTGTGAGACTAAGAATCCCCACTATATTAAGTATTATAAGCCCAAGCAAGCAATCTAGAGTGAAATGGGTTGGCATCTTTTGTTTTTTTAATTTCTTGATCTCACATTCAGCTTTTGAAATAGATCATACTTTCATCTCTCAGTTGAAGTAACATGACTAAGATCACATAGATACTAACAGTCAGTATTTCAGCACAAGAACTGCTATTAGCTTTACCAGAAGCCATGATGCCTCCAGTGGCGTAATGGTTATGTGTTAGGCTGTTAACTTCAAGGTCAGTGGTTCAAAACCACAAGCTGCTCCACTGGGCAGAGATAGAGGTTTCTACTCCAGTAAAGTGCTACAACTTGGGAACATCACTGAGGATAACTATGAGTCTGCACTGACTGGATGGTTTGATATTTGGTATGTTACCTCTAATGGATGCTTTGATGAGATTTTGAAGTAGTCCTGTTAACAGCAAAGTGTTACTTTATACAGATTTAAAATTACTAAACACAGTTGCATTCCAGTGATATTGAGACTGGTTGCCATTTGGAATTTTTAGTTTCCTATTCCTTTTTTTTTTCCAAAAGGATACCTGGAAAAAACTACTCAAAAACTGCTTGGCAATTCCCTGGTAGTTTCTATTTACTTAAAGTTCTTTGGAATTATTCTTTCCCGTTGTCCCTTCAAGAATTCTCAGTTTTAATTTTATTGCTTGATGGCCAAATGTAACCCATTAGATAGTCATTTAAATTTACTGTCTTATATTTTCATATGTACTATATTGAGACATTACCTTGTTATTCTTGAAAAGGGACACTTTATTATTTTGTTTAAAGTCGTTTTATTAGGGGCTCATACAACTCTTTTTGTGGGGGGGGCTCATACAACTCTTATCACAATCCATACATACATCAATTGTGTAAAGCACATTTGTACATTCAAACATTTGCTCTCCACTTAAGCTTACCCTGGCATCAGCTCCGACCCTCCATCATGAACCCTTGATAATTTATAAATTATTATTTTGTCATATCTTGCCCTGTCCGACATCTCCCTTCACCCACTTATCTGTTGTCTGTCCCCCAGGGAGAAGGTCACATGTAGACCCTTGTAATCAGTTCCCCCTTTCCAACCCACTCTCCCTCTACCCTCCCAGTATCGCCACTCACACCACTGGTCCTGAAGGGATCATCTGTCCTGGATTCCCTGTGTTTCCAGTTCCTATCTGTACCAGTGTACCTTCTCTGGTCTAGCCAGATTTGTAAGGTAGAATTGGGATCATGATAGTGGGGGAGAGGAAGCATTTAGGAACTAGAGGAAAGTTGTATGTTTCATCGTTGCTACATCGCACCCTGACTGGCTCATGTCCTCCCAGAGCCCCTTCTGCAGGGGGATGTCCAGTGGCCTACAAATGGGCTTTGGGTCTCCACTACGCACTAGCCCCCTCATTCACTGTGATAAGATTTTTTGTTCTGTTGATGCCTGATCCCTGATCCTTTCAACACCATGTGATCGAACAGGCTGGTGTGCTTCTTCCATGTGGGCTTTGAGGGACAATTTATTTAAAAGCCTCTCATAACTTCCGTTGTTCATGGTTACACCGTTGAATAGTGACAACAATGAAGGAACTTTCAGTGTCCAATCTTACAGTGTGAAAATATGAAGATGGTGCAAGAAGAATAAAAAAGCAGTTTTGAAAGAATAGCGTATCCTATATTTAGATTCATATAAAACTGAATGTTAAGGGTGTTAAGGTCTTTTATGAACGTGAGAGTTGTCAGATCTTGTAATTGGTGGACATTATTGATGGGTGAAAAGATTGCTCTTCCGAAGTTTCACTACGTGACAGTGGTCAAATGAGCATTGTGACCTCATTCCCTACATGGGACTTGCTGGCATGGGAGAACTCCCATTAAATCATTATTGATAATCGGGGGAGATTTTTTCTAGAGTAGCTAGAATTTGAAAGAGCCTGCATTCAGGTATGTTAAGCTCTGGATTTTGCATCAAGCCTGATTTGCAGATTCTGGAAGATTTCGCTCTTGAGCCTATGTACTATATGCTTTTGCCTATGTACTTATGACTTAATATGAGACAAATTGAGAACTTCTATGAAGTAAGCAAGAAAATAGGAGTCTGAGTTTCTTAGACAACTTCTGAACTCCAAATTGGAGTTCATGGAGTTCATTTAAACCATAGCCCTATGGATCTCACATTAAACTTTGTGTTTTTAGTAATTACTGCAGAGAATGAGATCAAATTATTAAGTGATCTGTCTATATGTTTATTTGGTGCAGTTTATTTAATTTTAAAATATAAAATGTTCAGTTTTATTCTGTACAGATTATTAAGATCAAGGGGATTTTTAAAAGTTTGACTTTGCCCTCAATTCAGGAGTCTCAAATTTTGAAGTACTACAGTACTTTTGTTAGTATCCTCATGTGAATCAAAGATTTGAAAGATTGCTGATTTTTTTCTTCACCTTTGATATTTCCAAATACTCCTTATCTGTTGAGTTAAACATGTTGACTATTAGGATTTTTGAACTGGAAGCAATTTTACAAGGCATCGACTCAGATTCCTTATTTTAGTGAGAGAACTTTTTTTTTACGTGTGTAGATTATATTCATATTTCCAGTAGTCACTGATGAAGTAGCACATGGGCGTTGATTTTCATGTCTTTTTCTCCCTGCCTGCTCGTGTGCAGGATATCCCTACTTTCATTTTCTTATTCTTTGCAATACTTCCACTCTAGGTCCTGTTTCCCTCTGAGTTGGAAAGAAAGATAGTCTTAAAATTATAAATTGCACTCTAGCTCTACTAAGAAATTTTTTCTTCATTAAGAGTACCCGGATTACTGCAGAATGACCACAGAAGTAGTGTTACATTACCGACCATATGAGAGTGATCCCACACAGCTGGCAAAACTGATAGAAAAAGCAATTCACGACTTTCCTGCTCGTCCGCTCCCAAGATTTGTCCCTTGGTTTCCACCTGACAGGACTAAACTTGCACTTAAACCCAAGAGATCACCGCCTGTGATTTCTGAAGAGGCTGCTGAAGATGTGAAACGTCATCTAGCCCCTTTAGGACGTGATGTTACATCACAGAGTTATGATTGCACTGTAGATCTATTGGAGTTTCAACCTAACATGAAAATAAAGACGCATTTCATCCGGTCCCACTCACTGGATGAAGAGACTCATTCTGGAAATCTGGATAAACAATCAGCAAAAGAAAAACAGGTCTTCAGGAGGTCTTGGAGTATTTCCCTTCCCAGCAGTAATTGCACTGAAAAGAGTTTTCCTTTATCTAAAAACTTGCAAGATTGTTTAAAGGCACTCAATCTGCATTCGTTTTATAGAGCACGGTGGACAATAGAGCCGACTGTTTGTGACAGCCAAACTCTGGAAGTCATTTGGGCAAAACTCAGTCGACTAGTTAGGCACAATGAGCTTCCATCTTGTAATGCTACAATTCAGAGACACTTAGGCCAGATATGGGTATTCTGTGATATTATGTACTGTGAATATGTGGGAAATCTTCTGAAAGCAAGATTAGCTCTTACTGGAAAAATGAATTTATTTGTGCATAAATTCGGGGTGATTTTTAGCCTGTAGTAAATTTTGCTAATTGTAAAAAAAAGGTTATTATGTATGAACTGAGTATAAATTTAAATATTTATGTGACTGCTAATTTTTAAATGTTTAATGCCTTTTTAAATTTTGTTTATGACTCTTCATTAAGATAACCTAGTTATCCTTAACACTGGTGGGAGGGGAGTAGATTGTGTGTAGATGTATTTATCTTCAAAATATATGCTGTAAAAACAGGCATTTTTTTACCCTGCAAAAAAGAAATGCACTATGTCAGAACTGTCTTACTTAATTTTTTCATTTCCAAGAGTTATACAAAGGGGCATCAAAAAAGTTTGTGAAAAAAACCATGACTTTTTACATACATTTTTCCGCAAACTTCTTGAAGCCAGCTCAGTATTTCTGTAGGAATATAGTAAGAATATGGTGGATTCTCTCCTCATTAGCAGCCTTCTTTTACATAAGTTGTGATAAATTCCTGTTTAAGCTGTTTCTGCTTTTGTTACTTTTCCATTCATTAAATTAATAAATAAATTAAGGTAAATAGTTTGGATTTTGGCAAATCTTCCAAATTTCATTTTACTATAATTTTTTTTCTCTATTCAAGCATAATGGTTATTTTAATCAGCAAAATTCACTACCATGCTACTCAAGCGACATGAATGTATTTCTAAGTAATGGACCAACCCAGATTCTTACTGTTGTTTATGAATACAGGTAATAAATAACAGTTTATATAGTGTTTGGAAATAAGGTACAGAAAATATGGCTTGCTCAAGATTTGATCTTAGTGAAAGTTAATTTTGAGTTGGAGTCTTGGTTGGAGTCACTATGGGATTTACTCTTGTTTCCTGGAAGCACCAGAATGTTACCAACTGGAGAGAGATATCACCATGCAAAACTGCCCAAAGTAATTATAATAAACCGTTGTTGTAAAAGCATGTAAGTGTGTATTTATTTAACAAATTGCAAAGCCTACCATATGCTCAGGACTAGGATATACTAGAGAGGGAGACCAACATGGACCTTGCCCTCATGAATTTGGCATGGAGTTAGCTACCAAGGAGTTAAAACAATTTCCTAAGAGAAGCCATTAACTCTGTCCTCACTAAATTCGCTGCCATTGAGTCAATTTTGATTCTCAGCCACCCTACAGGGCAGGGTAGAGCTGCCCCCATGAGTTTCCTAGACTTTTAATTCCCTCCAGGAGTCGAAAACCCCATGTTTTCTACCTTCAAGCTGGCTGGTGATTTTGAACTGCTGACCTCGAGGTTAGCAGATCAGGGTCCCACTGTACTTACTAGGAAAGCAAATACATGTTTGCCTTATATCAGAGTGTGACTAGCATGTCAAGAGCTCACTGAGATAGGGTAAACATGCTCTTTAAGTGAAGTCATATGAACTTGCCAAAGTTGCTTACATACCAGCAGTCCATTCATTTGGAACTAGAGATTATCTTTCCTGATAGATTTCCCTCCAGTCAAATATTCTTTCACTTCTACTTTTTTTAAAGACTCCTATATAGAAATAAGCACCTGTGCAGTGCATAAATGCTTGCAAAAGTCTTAAGAGGAAAAAATCAAAATATTAGTAGTTTCCAAGGAAACCATTTCAGTAGTTCATCTTCTAATTCAAACATGTTGTTCTTCCACCAAGACTGCGGGAGAAACTTCAGTATCACCTGCTGGCTTCATTACAAGACTCTTGATGTTATGAGGCAGTCTATATAAGTGGTGGGTTTTATTTTTATTATTTAGATCTTAATTACCATCAAGAGTTAAACAGTAAATAATCAAAGCACGGTCATTTGCACAAAATGCAATGCTTTTTGTTTTTCATGTTGTTTCAAAATGATATATATCGAGCATAAATTATAAGGTACAGTTAGGGGTCATGGGCCCATTATCTCAGATTCCTCATCTTGAGGATTTATAATGTCCTGATTTATATCAGTTGCTTTTTGCCATTGTCAGAAAGAAAAAGATCACTCAACTCACTATCTCACTCACTGACATTCACTCACTGCCTCACTCTCTCACTGCCTCACTCACTCACTCACTGTCTCACTCACTGGCTCTCACTCACTCACTGCCTCACTCTCACTGTCTCACTCTCTCACTGCCTCACTCACTGGCTCTCACTCACTCACTGCCTCACTTACTCACTCACTGTCATTCACTCACTGCCTCACTCACTCACTCACTGTCATTCACTCACTGCCTCACTCACTCACTCACTGTCATTCACTCACTGCCTCACTCACTCACTCACTGTCATTCACTCACTGACTCACTCAAAAAAAGAAAAATTAAAAAAGAAAAAGATCATTCACAACTGGGAAGTGGGAAGCTGATTGACTGTAAATCGTGTCCTGATCGTCAACAAAGATGGAGAATTCTTTCTCATCTCCCTGAATAGTGCCAATGTGTTCACGACCCAAGAAGTCCTTGCATCCCAATATTACCTTCTTTGGAGCTTCTTGAGTATTTAGAACCTTAGGGCAGCACAGTGATTAATTCTGTAGCTGCTAACCCAAAGTTGGCACTTGGAACATCTTAGCCATTCTGTGGAAGAAATATTTCTGCTTCTGTAAAGATGACAACCTTGGAACTTATCTGGGCAGCTCTGCTCCATGCCATCGGTGGAAATCCACTCTGGCCAGGAGTGAGTGCAAGGGCTAAGTGATATTTCTGAGTTTAAAAAAAAAAGCCAACCCTACTGCCATCCAGTCGATTCCAACTCATAGCAACCTATAAATCAGAGATGGACGAAAAGGGAGAGAACTGTCGAGGAAGGCGCGTCTGCAGGCCATGCGGGAAATGTCACCAGCATTTCCCCTCAGAAGGTGGCCTCAGTACCAGCATATTCATTCTGCCACTAGCTGTCTCTCTTCAAATGAGTAGTCATTCTGCTAAAGATAAAAAATTCTGGAGGGCATCTAGGTTGGGAGTTTTGCTTTTTAACCTTTGCCCTCATCCTTGTCTAATTTAATTTCATTTGTAGCTTATCTAATAAAGATCATTTATTGTAAATTTCCAAGATGAATTCCTGTATCATGGTTTACTTTCGCTTAATTGACTCATAATACCCCAAATTCACAAACTCAAGTAACTTTAGAAAATACACAGGTAAACGATTACAAGGATCTACATGTGACCTCCTCCTGGGGGACAGACAACAGAAAAGTGGGTGAAGAGAGACATCGGACAGGGCAAGATATGACAAAATAATAATTTATAAACTATCAAGGGCTCATGAGGGAGAGAGGAGCAGGGAGGGAGGGAAAAATGAGGACCTAATGCCGGGGGCTTAAGTGGAGAGGAAATGTTTTGAGAATGATGAGGGCAATGAATGTACAAATGTGCTTTACACAATTGATGGATGTATGGAATGTGATAAGAGTTGTATGAGGCCCTAATAAAATGATTTAAAAAAAAGAAAATACGCAGGTAAAAATGTAGAATGTGGTTGGAATCTGAGATTTGAGGAAAATGCCACTTTTGTCTATGGGACCAAATAAAATGTATATGCAAGTATAATTTGGGGCGACTCATTACTTGGTAATTTTGGACTTTTTTTTTAATTTAAGCTGTGTAAAAAGGTTTTATAAGATTTTACTTGAGACCTAAATTTCATAGTGAATGAAATGTGTTGTAAACTGTATAATTGCCTCTGTACACATGGCATTAACTGCTTATGGATAGTAAATATTTGATAAAATATCAATCTTTTATTCTTAATTTAAGAGAGAGAAATGGATGACATTTTAAAATCAGGAAACTTCGTCAACATTAAAAGCTACTAGATAACTTTCTATTAATTAGTGCTTTTTTATAGTTCTATAAGTGCTGCTGTTGTTTTAAAAGGTAATTGTCATTTCCAGTGAACACTGTTTAATTTTGATATCTATTCTTAATATAAAATACCAAGTTTTAAAACTATATGGTATTGGCATACTTTTTATCTTCTGGACAGATACAATAAGTGAGAAGCCCTCCTTAATTTAAAAGTTCCAAGAATGGGATAGTTACATATTCTACTTGATTTGCTTTAATTATTTGTAGTTCGGAATCCCGGTGGCACTGTCGCGTAAGGGTTGGACTGACAACTCCAAGTTTGGTGATTCAAACCCACCAGTCACCATGCGAGAAAGATAAGGTTGAAGTGGGTTTGAGATTTTCAGAGGTTACCCATCACAACCTCAAAAACCCTCTGTACTGTCACTGTGAGTTAGAATCAGCTCAGTGGCACACCACAGCAGCAACATGAGAGAAACAGGGTGACTAAGACTTTTTTTTTAAGTGATATTTAAGCTAAGACTGAGCACTAAGTTTTATAAGAGTGCTATAGCTAATTAGTAGTGCTATTGGTGGTTAGGTAGGTAATAAGCCCTGATGGTGTCGCTAAGCTCTCGACTAATAACTGAAGGCCAGCTTTGGAACCTACCAACAGCTCCAAGAGAGAAAGATGTAGCATTGTGCTTCTGTCTGCATTTACAGCTTTGGGAACTCTCTATCCTATGTCGTTGTTCAGTGCCATTGAGTCCGTTTTGACCCAGAGCAACTTTACACACAACGGACTGACACACGGCCTGATCCTGTGCCATCCTCACAATTGTTTCTATTGTTGAGCCCATCGTTGCAGCCGTGGTGTCAGTCCATCTCCTTGAAGACCTTCCTCTTTTCCACTGCCCCTCTACTTTCCTAAACATGATGTCCTTCTCCAGGAACTAGTCTCCTGACAATATGTCCAAAGTGTGTGAGACATCTCTGCCACTAAGGAGCACTTTGGCTGTAGGTGTTCCCAGATAGTGAGTTGGGATTCAACTCAGTAGCAGTGGGATTTTGTGTGTGTGGATTTTTGAGGGTTGTTAGGTGCCATTGAGTCAATTCTGACTCACAGTGACCCAATTTTACAGAGTAGAACTCCCCACGGGTTTCCTAAGCTTTGGTCTTGAGTATGGTAAGTGAATTTATAACTTAAAACCTACTTCTCCTTGTTGCGTGCCATTGACTTGATTCCAATGCGTAGTGACCCTGTAGAGCAGAGTAGAACTGACTGCCCATAGCGTTTCCTGCCTGGAAGTTTGATGGGAGCAGATCAGCTTGCTTACTCAAGGAGTGGCTGCTGGGTTTGGACTACTGACTTTTTGGTTAGTAGTAACCATTGCACCTCTAGTCTTCCTCCAGCTTTCCTAGGACCTTGTAATGAATAATTCTTTGCATTTTGTTGATTTTGTTATTTGCTACATCCTCATTTGCATCTTTTGTTTTCTTTTATTCTCTGGATAGTGTTGCACTAGTAAGCCAATCGGTTAATTTGGGCATTAAATATGTTTAGTATATGGTCAGTCCAGTTCTTCCTCCTTTCCTTCCATTTCCTTAGTGCATTTTTATTTATTTGGTTTTCTAGATAAAGTATACTAACATTCTATCACTGCCATAAAACAATTCTTAGTTTGGGTTAAAATAACATAACATTAACTGATATGTTAGTGATTTCTACGCAGATTTCCCCTAGCACCATGTAAAGAAATGCTGACTGACCTCCCAGGTGCCAGTAATTATATCTAAGGAATTAAAAATCGCAAAGTTGCCATTGACAGAATTATATTCAAAGTGGTGCCTCTAACTTTGTTAATGTTCTAGGCAAATATTTGTTCCTTTTTAATGTTTTTTTAAATATTGTTTAGGGTGAGGTCACTTGAGATTGTTTCTAAAGCCTTGTGATATTAATATACCTTCAGCTTTAAAATTCTTCTTTTTCATTTTTTTTCTGTAATGAGAATTTACCACACACCTATCAGCAGATAGTGGTTTGATTGTGGTTATTTCTACATGTCTAATCGGTTATGCATGTATATAAATATAGATAATAGAGGACACAAGGAACACAGTTGTAGAAACTTCTCAGATTATACCGAACACCTC